TAGTGGTTTATGTCACTTTCCTGGATGAAGATGAAAATACAGGTGGAAAGGATTGCTGGGACAAGCAATTTCACAGAACGTGCCTCAGCTGAGGACAAGGCTGCAGCGCTCTTCAGTGAGAAGCACACAGCTCTAACACTGAGGAGACAGGCACAAAGGCACACTCATCTGAAGTCTCTAGAAGCACCTAGAAATTATTTCATAAAAAAAATAAAAATCACACAACGGACTTGCTGATAAATCACTTGTTCGTCATTATGAACCAGCAAACCACCAAGGTGGCTCTTCTAGTCAGTTAAAAATGCTTACTGCAGTTAGAAGATAACCAAATTAGCTTAGAGAAACAGCAAGTCCCTTAATCACTTGTTTATATTTCAGGCAGCGTATCTGTGTACTGAGGCACTGGTTTTGAAAGAGTCTCCAAACATCGTTACAGATTCTGCTCTTCCCCAAGTTTTACATTCTAGGGTTCAGTAACATGGGGCTATTTAATGCTTCTTGGTCTTCTAAGAAAACTTAAAGTTTTTGGCTGTTACTGCATGACCCCCATGCTGGCCATCACCTTCTGTGCTGTTTGAGCAGGAGGTCCCAATGCCCCCATCCCCGCTGTCGGCCACGCTTGAACAGCGACTGACACGGCTCTGGAACTTCACAGACAACATAGGTGTTTTCCAGTCAGTCTCCAAGAAATGACTCTTCTGACTGGTGCTGGGATCTGGAGAGAAAAAGCCAGGGATATTTATGTTTTAGTCAGACCTGAAAAGCCTTTTAGCACACCTAATTAAGCCATATCTAATTACCTGTGCTACCAAATCCAAACTGATCCTTGCTTGACTCCCCATATTGTTGCTAAAGAAATCTTTTTTGCAAAAGGAAATGGCAGCAAGCACAGGGAAGTCAAATAATATCAACAAGAGACTGAAAATCAATCTTGTTGTGGAAGTCAGAATGCAAAATAAGTAAATTATATTCCCATTGATAAGTCTGATGATATTACACCCAACTGATGCTCTCTGCTAAGCTAAGAAGAGCAGCAATATTGGCAGACAGCAATGCCAGTAAAGATACATTTTTGCATTAACTGTTACAAATTCTTCCCAATTTATCAGTTATTGCTCAAGAGACAGGTTCTTTATCAAATGATTCTCTACCCTTGTATACTCATGCAATTGTTTTATTTTGCAGGAGTAAGACTTTTTTTTTTTAATAAAAAGCTTTTGTTAAAGAACTCTTCTCAGAGCCATATGTCTCCTCAGAGAAACTGAAACAGGATCCGACAGCAGAAGGGCTTTAAAGAAAGGACTGTCCTTACCTGATGGATTGTTCTGCTGGAGCCTCAGCTCTGGATGTTTCTCAAGAGCAGCCATCTTATCTATCCAGTGAACTACAGGGCAATAAATAAAAATCATATTTTAAATCAGCATAAACCAAACCCTGCTCCCACTAACCAAGCGAAGGGTACACACAGATCAGCTACTTCTCATTCAGAGTAACACAGTATTTCATGTTTAATTAGCATCTCCTCCCTAGGGTCTCTCTGTTTCATTCCTGCAGCAACAGAGGCAATACTTAAAAACCCATTGCAGTTATTGTAGGTTTTCTTCATGCCTGAGAAATGAGAAGAGTTCCTGTTTGTAACATTCTCCAGGTACGCAGCAGTTCGGCAGCGCCTTTCAACTGGGGCATGTGTTATCCCCATCGTAGTTATTTATAGAGCATCAGTCACCATGGTACCTACACGCCAGCTTTATGTCTATAGAGACTAAAAATTTCCCTTTAAAAGTCTTAACTCTAAACCAGTTCATTTCTGCCCTCTGTAGAGGTCACTGAGCAACTACATGCAGAAATACAGTCATTCAAAACTTAGCACTGCTGTTCCATAAATGGCAATTATTATCTATCCAGAGCTTTGGTTTAATTTGTCTGCTTATCTGAGTACTTCGGGCAGTGAATTTCCTGCCTCCAATGATGCAAGTATAGTTTGCAGCTCTTGGGCATCACTGTAGAAATTCAAGGCCACTCTCCTCTCTGTCAGTCAAATACCAAATCCTTGATTACCAGCTCTTACAGATTTTTGCTTAACTGATTCAAAGAGCACATGGAAACCATTAATTCTTAGAAAACATATATATACAGATTTTACAATATAGGATAAACATTGGGAATACAGTAGGATAGATAATGAATCAGAAGTAGCATTTTACTCATACAGCAAAGAAATAAAACACTTCTAGCTAAACAGTGCTTATAATGTTTAATTTAGGTATGTTTCAGGAATTCCTGAGTTTAAATCTCAGTCTCCAGCACTACAGACAGACAGTTATAACAGGGAAACCCCAGCACAATCTCTTGAAATAAAACAGACAAAGCAACCAAAGCATTCCCACCTCACTCCGCACCACAAACACACACACCCCAGAGCACACCCCCGCACACTACACAAACCACCCCCTTCCAGCAGCGGGCACAGGGCAGACCCTACAGAGGGGGCGAGAAGGAACACGTGTAAAATAAGGAAAAATGAAGGAGAAAGAGGGAAGGGAGCGGCGGGTCACGAAGATGGGGATGGAGCAGCGCTTCACCCGACGGAGGGGGGAGAGCTTGGCGGTTAGGTGGAGTGAGGTGAAGCCTGCGTGCGGGGGGCAGCCCTTCGCCCCCTGAAAAGGGATGGGGAAGAGTGGTTCGGGTGGGGAAGGCGGTTGACCTCGGAGATGGGGGCGGCCCACCGCCTGGAAAGCGCAGTCTGACCCCGAGGGGCCGGTCCCTGAGGGGAAGGGGATGGGGGGGTCCCTGACGGGAATGCGGGAGGGGGAGGAGCTGGTCCCTGAGGGGAAG